TGATTCACAGCAGTCAGAATGGCATCTGTGCTTCACGCTGCATTATCACTAAAACAGCGTATTCCACACTGGAGCCATATTGAGAGCATTAATCCCTCTGAAAATGTCTTTCACAAGAAACGGTCTCAAACCTGGGAGGTGTTTTCTAATTGTTGTGTCCTTTTAATACCAGTATGCTATCAGTATGGTTGTATTTGAGTTTATTTGAGTTAATTTTTTATTCTTTTTGAGTGATTCTGTGGAGGTTGTTCTGATTGGATTATATCCCAGTGAGTCACTGATTCCTTGATTGTTTTCCCCTGATGTTACCGACCTCCTCCTCTCGCCTGGGTCCTGTTTATTAGCTGCACTTTGCTAGCACTCCTTTTTGCCTTCAGAACTGCTCTTTGTGCCGAAGCTTCATCAAGGTGCTGAAAACATTCCTCAGAGATTTTGGTCCTTATTGACACGACAGCATCGTTTAGCTGCTGCAGCTGCACATCCATGATGTGAATCTTCCGTTCCACCAAATCATGAGGATCTACTACAGGATTAAGTTTAGGTGGCTGTGGTGGCCATTTGAGGTGCTTTCTCCTGCTGGAAGCAACCATCAGAAGATGGTACACTGTGGTTACACTGGGATGGACATTGTCTGTTTTTCACACCATTCTCTGTAAACATGGAGATGGTTGTGACGATCTGAACTATTCAGACCAGCATCCACGCCATGATCGAGGTCTCTGAAATCACCGTTCTTCCCCATTGTGATGCTCAGTTTGAGCTTCAGCAGGTCACACTGACCATGTGCAAACACTGAGCTGCTGTTACGAGTGGCTGACTGTATATTTGCATTAAGAAGGAGTTAAGCAGGTGTCCCCAACAAAGTGACCCTATATCTCTTCCCTTTCTCAAACCACTCAGCCTTTTATGAATATTGATAAATTTCAGCTTTTGTGTTTTTTCTGGCTGTTTTATTTAAGGAAGCTCCAACATGTAAGGACTGATATACATCAACCAATCGTGTCCCGATGTGCAGCAGCAGCATGTTTTCACTTGCAGCAGGCTTGAAAGTGCATCACCACACGATAGGTTTGACATGAATAAAGCTGACTGATGATCACTCGAGGAGGTGACCTATCATCTTGGCTTCTTGCGCAGTGTTGTGAAATGTAGAAAAATCGGTACTTGGATGGAGGGTGAAACTTGAAAAGCGTAAATGTGATGGCAGATCATTTTAAAAGTACCGGAGGGCATGTTCAAAATTAACAAGCTGTCATAAAGTGAGGGTTGTTGTGGTGATTTGGGGAGTTTCCTGCTGTGACTCTCGGCCAGCTCAGGCGGTTACTCTGCCCCGAAGGCTGTGAACGCGGCCTGGCCCGGCTTACATTCCTGCTTAAAACGATCATTTGGCAGCGGGTATCGAAAGCTAACGTCACCCCGTCGATATGATCACCGCCCTGATTATGTATGAAAGTCAGGATTGAGAAACATTATTTTAGGGATTCAGGGAGCGTCAACAACACACCGAGTCAGGATTTAGATTTTCCAGGCCGCTCTCACAGAAATCAACACATTAAATAATCTTAATCCTAATCCTGTTTAAATGCAGTTTAGATGATTTTTCTGTGGATGTCAGAAGTAGAGGAGGGGAAGCTGGGACTTACGATGAAGTGAGACTCATCATTCTGACGCCGATGTATTTCTTCTTCTGTGGTGTTTTACCTGCAGAACATAACAACAAAAAAACCCATTATGTCCATGTTACAGTCAACATCATCATCCTCTTTTATCACGTTTATCTAGTTTTAAAATCAACGAGTCTAAAGTGAAGTGAAATGTTTATCAGGCAGCTTTGAAATCTATCTTTGAGTTTTAGCTACAGTACCGTAACGTAACGTAGCCATGCAAACATCTCAGAGTTTAAGGTACAGGTACGAGTGCTGGAGCCTGGAGCTTGTTTACTCTGGTCAGAGTCAGTTCATGAGTGTGTAAATGTGTGGCTTTTTCTCTTGATTTGGTTTCATTTCAAACAGAAAAACTTGAAGCAATCAAAAAATGCATCATATCATCACCACCATCAGTCTGCTTATTGGCTAAATCAGTCCGGGGTGAGAGAAATAAAGGTGCTGTGTTTTTCAAATCTCAAATCTGCTGACAGTTTGGTCAGATCACGTTCTGGCCATGAGCGAACCACTCTGGAGTTACGTTTAGTTGTCTC